GAACTCTATTTTACTAGGTATTCTTTTGTGTTTAACAAGTAGGTGGTGGTGGTGGTGGTAGTAAAGGGTGGATGGGTGGGAGGGAGCGGCGGAGGGATTTAGCGATAGGATGTGGTGTTATACATATATGACATATACTGGGTCTGTCCCGGGGCAAGGTGACCGCTTGGGCCTCAAATTTAGTACCATAATGTAATACAGTAGTATATATATATGAAATATCAGTATTACTTTCCATAATTGAACGTAACTGGTATTTTAATCAATTAAAAGACATCCATTTTAGACCATAATTTTCATAATTAAAAAATAATACATAATCATATATCATATAAATTTATGGCAATAAATAATTTTCAAAAAAAATTAATTACAATAAACACGTGCTTATAATATAGGGTGAACTACATTAAACCTCCACCTCAACTATTAGAAGGATGATTTAACTAACTTCCGTTAATTAACTATTAGAGATGCAATTTAATTCTCATATTATATATATATATATAGCAAATATATTCCAAGAAAAAAAAACCTAGATTTATATTGGAAAAAAAAAAATTAGGCATTATTTCCGGTAATGTCACTTTAATAAATCTATATAAAATGAAAATCGATAAAAACCAAATAAATGAATGCACAATATAATTCTCAAATATATATATATATATAGCAAATAAATTTTAAGAAAAAAAAAATAACCTAGATTTATATTGGACTGAAAATATATTTAAATAATATTTAATGATACATATTATATATATCATTATATTATGATACAAATTATATATAATATTATAATAATGGGTAAATAAAAGAAGTTGAACAAGAAGAAGAGTACATGTTGTTGCAATGGTTTTTTTTCCAATATAAATCTAAGTTTTTTTTTTTTATGAAATTTATTTGCTATATATATATATATTTGAGAATTATATTGTGCATTCATTTATTTGGTTTTTATTGATTTTTATTTTATATAGATTTATTAAAGGGACACTACAAGAAATATATAATGCCTAATTTTTTTTTCCAATATAAATCTAGGTTTTTTTTTTGAAATTTATTTGCTATATATGTATATTTGAGAATTAAATCACCTCCCTCCAATAGTTAGTTAACAGAAGTTAGTTTTACCCCCCTCTAATAGTTGAGGGATTTTTTTGAAAAAAAATAGAAAAGGGAGGTTTAGTGAAAAATACAGATAAAAAAGGGGAGTTTAATGTAGTTCACCCTAATATCAATTTATATATGTAATACAATAATTTGTATGGTAAAAATAATTTGTTTCTATCCCTTTCCTTCAAAAGAAAAAATATTTTTTAAATATTTAAACAAGAAACTGATTTATTTTATTATTATATTAATATTGGGCTCACGTGCATGCATGGAAGCCAAGTTCAAACAATCAAAACTTTAACTCATGGATGCAATTAATTTTCAAATTTTTAACTCAGCCATGTTCAAACAACATAATTACGACAGTGATTGGAATACTTTAATTTATAATTTTACATCTCAAAATGTAAGACGGTCACTTTTACTTTGATATGAAGTTGACTTTTGATTTTTGTAACTAAGTTGTGTTGAATATTTTTGAAAAATTTAGCATAAATTGGATTGTACTTTTTATAAAGCACCAAGAACGATTTTTGCTTGGTGCGTTTTTAACCTTAATATATTTGATGTGCTTATCGTATGATTTTAATATAAATTTCACACTCATATGAGTTTTTTTACTCGTGTGAAACCTTATGTATTAACGGCCTCACATTTTAAAATTCACCTAAGGCCTCTCAAATTTTTGGGAATTTCAGGGCCGACCCCGCATATATATTATACATATGTATTATATTTATATATATGTATATATAGAGAGAGAAATTGAGGGTTAGATTTGTAGAGAGAGAGATGTTGGTTTGATCTAATAAAATGACTTGTAAAAGTTAAAAAGGTAATTTCATGACAAAAACAGATCAATTAACAAGTCAAGGGTGATAATGTGGGTAACAATGTTAATTTATCTATTAGGGGTGTCTTTGTTAACTTTATTTATTTATTTATTTATTACAAGGCAAGAATGGTTAGAAGTTAAATTAGTGCTGACACTCCAACATTCACCAAAGGAACTAACCTATTGAGCTATCGAGACATCTGTCTTTGTTAACTTTATCAAAACTAAGAGGTGTCATAAGGGCGGCTCAATCTAATTTAATTGGGGCTTTAGTCGAAAAATAAAAGGTGGCCTTTTCAACAATATAAATGAAAATAGTTACAAATCACAAACAAAATATACAAATATATACATACATACATATATATACACACACACACACACATCCACTTATTTATAATAACAAAAGTGAATAAAACTTTAAAGAAAAATAATCTTAAAACCTGATTTAGAAAAACCAAATCCAATACTCCTACAAATTTTCAATCTTCCCCAAATAGTATATAATGAGGATGGATCGAAGAAGAAAGTTAACTGTAAACTTGTAATGAGAGGGGGAGGAAAAAAAATTGTTAAAATTTTTTTTAAAAAAATAAAATAAAATAAGATAAAAAAAAATAATATGGAAAATTTTCACCACTTCCCCAAACAATAATGTTAAATACATATTTAATATTTTACTGTTGGTGTAACTAACCCAGAATTTTTTTTTAATACTGGTGTAAAAAAGGTGAATGAGAGAGGAAAAGAAAGAGGGAGAAAAATTATTTAATGATACAAATTTTTGGTCCTGAAAAAAAATAAAAAAATAAAATAAAAAAAGAAAAGAAAAGAAAAAGTCATATAAGGATATAAAATTTTAAAGCCGGTTCAATGGAATGAGGGAAGAGAGAGAAAAGATAAAAGAAAAATAAATAAGTTATTTTAGGATATAAATATTTGAGGGCCTAATATAAAATCCAAATGATGGAGTTGGAGAGAGAAAAGAAGAAAAAAAATTATTATTTTAGGATATATAGAAAATAAGTGATTCTAGGATACAAATGTTTATGGCTTAATATAATTTTTTTTTGTATTCATTAGAGTTTAATAATATTATAAAATAATTATACTGTAACTAAATAAAAATTAGTTATATAAGAAAATTTTAAAATTTTTGGTACATGGCATTTGCTAGCTTACGGGACCGCCTAATGCCTATGTGTTTCAATAAAATATAAAAGCCCTAGAATCGAGCAGTACCACATTGGGTCTCTCTACTTCTTCAACAGAGACGACGGCCATGGGAGACTTGACGGTTAATGTGGAGGCTATGGAAGATTGTAAGACTTACGATGCGTACACCTTGTACGTCTCCGGGAAACAGCGTGTTCTCACAGTTGTTACTCGCAACGGCCAGGTTGCGAAAAAGTGGCTCGATCAGGTCCTCAAACACTCCAAGAACGGGAGGATCGTCGTCGGATTCTGTGCCAGTATTTGGAACGGCACAATTGCCAATGCCTACGATCTTCTGAAAATCTTCACGGGATCTCAGTGCCTCTTGTATATTATGCCGGAGAAACCATATTCCCCGACTCCGAAGTTTGTTCAGACTTTTTTCGAGAATCGTCGGGTCACGGTGGTTGGGTTTGATATGGTTTCTCTGGCGAAGCACCTGGAAGATAAGCATCAGATCAAAGTTGCCAATGCTGTGGAGGTGAAGGCCGATGCTGTGGAGGTGAAGGATATCGAAATGGTGAAGACTGTTGGTTCACTCATACTCCAAGATCCTAGGTTTCTCTGACCGAGGAAAAGGTTATTTCGTCAACGCTTGAGAGTTTTTTGTGTTTTTCCACAGGCTACAAAATTGTTTCCTCTTCTTCTTTAAAGAAGAAATGAAGAAGATGTTCATAAGTTGATTAGGTGTTTGTGGAATTGATCACATAACTGGTTTTGGTTTTATATGGATCGAGTTTTAGATGAAAATAGGCCGGTTATTAGTTTTTTAAATAACTGGTTTTGTTATGTTGAGTAGATGAATTCAGAACAATGTTAAGCAACTTTTTCAATTTTATCAATATTATCTGTACTTTGGTACAAATTAATCTCTGGATCTTCAATTTGGTTTTATACATATATATTAGATTCCTCATTCTCACTATGGTGCTTGGTGCTATTTTGGTTATTTTTACTGCTTTACAGTATTCTTTTTGTTGGGAAAATAGATTTTCAGTTGCATACTTGCATAAAAAAACATGTACTCTCAAGATAATGTTAACCTATATAGTTAGGAACAATTTGTGAGACTAGTTTACAGTGGATTAGGGACAGGAAGGAATTTGTGAGACTAGTTTACAGTGGATTAGGTACAGAAAGGTTGATAGATAATAAAAGAATGGTCTTGTAGACCCTTAAGATAAGTCAATAGTGTTGGAAGCTTTGTTTCGTTTTGGTGACAGAATCATTAAATTGAGAAATAATTCTTAAGTGGATTCAGCACAAGCTGACTCTTTCTAAAAGAGGGAACAGTGGGGTTCACAACCGCCCTTTTGTGAGAGAGAGAGAGAGTCGGATTTATGCCGACTCCGCTTGTATAGCAAACAACAAAATTTAGGGTTCATCTGGTCCCATTGCATTCGAAGTTTCCCCCAATGTTTTTCACAAAGCACTAGAAAAGAGTTTGTCATTAGAATCAAGTTATTCTAGGATTTCTTGAAATGATATAGTGACTGGACATGTTCTCTTTGAGGTAGCTTGAGTATGAGGTACAAAAATAGGATATTCTTTGTAAAACTAAGCAGCAAAACACAGTAGATAAGAACTGCTACAACCACCACAGAATCATCAAGAGATAGCTTGACTTTGTAGGACCCATCCCCATTGATGATGAAGACTGTCTTTGCCTTACTGAATGGCTTGAATCAACCAATAAATTTTAAATCTTTTATCAAACAAAGCCCCTGCTCAACAACCAACCATTCTGAAACCATTTCTTAACATCACTTCATTCCTCATATGCATTAAAAAAAAAAAAAAAAAGAAAAAAAAAAAGAAAAGAGAGAGAGTAGTGTTAAGACAATAGGAAAAAGCATATAAAACATGTAATAGTGAGCACAATAATAGTAGCACACCCAAAAATAAATGAATTCAAAAAGAGCAAAACCCTCTTAAGAATCTGCCTTTGGGAAAAACATTACAAACCAAGAGCTTTGAGCACCAAGTCCTGCACATCTTTCCATCCCCTGTGACCCTCATCTTGATTTAGAGTGGAGAAACTTAGGAACTCCGTTAAGGAATATACAATGAACCAGGGAAAAGAACGAGCTCTTGTTCAATGAATTTTCTTTTCTCGTCATAATCAAAGGGGTCCCTGACAAATTCCAATTGTCATGCCCCAACTTCTCTCTCATTCATTGAATTCTTGAAATTTTTGAAAGTAAACCTTAAACCATTGTTTTTTGGTCTAGATAAAGATGTAGAAATGCACTGCTAAACAGGCCTAACATACTGCCTTGGCTGCTTCTATCACAGCATCCACTGTTATTCCAAACTCCTTGTATATCTTTCCAGCTGGTGCACTAGCCCCAAACCGGTCAATCCCAATTGCCTTACCCTTATCTCCGACAATTTTTCCCCACCCAAATGTTGTTCCTGCCTCGATACTAACCCTAGCTGATACAGCAGCTGGGAGTACACTTTCCTTGTATTCATCTGACTGGTCATCAAACAACTCCCAAGAAACAAAAGACACAACACGGACAGTCTTTCCACCTTTCCTGAGCTCATCACCAGCTTTGGCAGCAATTTCTAGTTCTGAACCGGTCCCAATTAAAATAACATCTGGCTTATTGCTTGTAGAATTGTCCGAGATAATGTAACCTCCTTTCTCAACTCCTTCAATAGATGTTCCTGGAAGCTGAGGAAGCTTTTGACGGGAGAGGGCAAGAATTGATGGTCTCTTTCTGTTGAGAACTGCAACCTTATATGCACCTGCGGTCTCATTTCCATCAGCTGGTCGGAGCATTAGGATGTTTGGCATGGCACGGAAGCTTGCCAAATGCTCAATAGGCTGATGAGTTGGCCCGTCCTCTCCTAGCCCGATTGAATCATGTGTCATCACATAAATAACTCCAGCTTCACACAATGCAGAAATCCTCATGGCTGCCCTCATGTAGTCAGTGAAAACAAAGAAGGTTGCACAGTAGGGGATAAGACCAGGGCTGTGGAGACCAATCCCATTACAAATGGCACCCATTCCGTGCTCCCTAACACCAAATCGGACATTACGTTCTTCAGGGGTGGCCTTCTGAAAGTCGCCAAACATTTTCAGCAATGTCATGTTGGAAGAAGCAAGGTCTGCACTACCACCAAGAAGCCCAGGAAGAACTTTTGCAAGGGCATTAAGACACTGCTGAGACAGATTCCTGGTAGCATCAGCAGGACTTTCTGGAGTATAAGTCTGAGAAAGGGAGATGAAATAACCATGAGAATAATCCAAATTCATCCATAATAATTTTATAAAACCTACATGCTTGTGGAATAAGTAACTTAACAAACACCACTCACCGGAAGTGCTTTTTCCCAACCAGCAGGAAATTCACCAGTACTAAGGGACTTTAATTCTGCTGCTTCTTCCTTGTATTTTTTCTCATACAGTGCAAACTTGGCATTCCATTCAGCTTCAAGAGCAGCTCCATCTGGAACATGGCGGCTCCAGTGCCTGTCAAACACAAGAAGCTCATAGTAAATTCTAAGACTAAATCCTAAAGGCATCATGTAAACGTAACATTATAAAACATTTTACTTCTTAACATCCTCCGGCACATGGAATGGCTCGTATGGCCACCCAAGGTTCTTCCTTGTGGCATCCACTTCCTTTGCACCTAATGCACTTCCATGAACACTATATGAGTTTGCCTTGTTAGGGGACCCATAACCAATCGTAGTTGTCACCTGTATAAATCCCGAAGTCAAGAAAAGCAGAGAGCATAAACCAGAAAAGTAAAAGCTTAGTACAAAATTTTAAGTTCTCAGGAATCATGTGGAGAAAAGACCTTAATCATAGTAGGTTTGTCTTTGACAGCCTTAGCTTCCTCAATGGCAGCACGAATTTCATCATATCCAGTGTTACCATTCTTCACCCAAATGACATGCCACCCAAGCCCCTCAAAACGTTTGTCAACTGTCTCAGTAAATGCAATTTCCGTGTCACCGTCAATGGAGATGTGGTTGTCATCATAGAACGCAATGAGCTTGCCAAGTCCCCAATGCCCAGCAATGGAGCAAGCTTCATTTGAAATTCCCTCCATTTGACAACCATCCCCGAGTATCACATACCTGAAGAAACACCATTATCGATAAGTCAGAAAAAATTAAGCCAATGCATACATTATATTTAAGCAGGTGACAATAATATATCGAGAATAGAATGCAAGAAGATATACGTGTAGTGATCAACAATCTCATTGTCAGGTTTGTTGTATCGAGCAGCCAAATGCTTCTCTGCCAGGGCTAAGCCAACAGCATTAGCAATACCTTGACCAAGAGGGCCTACATAAAGAGTATAGATTATGTGAGCATATAATGTTGAAATCTAAGAACCTTTTAACGTAGGCAATTAATAGTGAATTAAGCGAGTTCAGGCTCAATAAGCTAACCAGTTGTGACCTCTATTCCTGGGGTTTCAAAGTTCTCAGGGTGACCAGGTGTTCTGCTTCCCCATTGACGGAAAGATTTCAAGTCTTCTTCCTAGTTTATTGAACATAAACTCAAAAAGTATTATGAAGTGAACATATTATAGAAGGGTATAATTTTAGAACAACCAAGGGGAAAATGGAATAAGAAAATAAAAATCACATTAATCCAATTAGACATCCGAATTCATGTTAAAACTTGACAATTGGTTTGCAGTTTTGCACCCTACTTCAACATGATTTACCTTGGAATTTTAGACAATCTGTCACCTAGTTTAACAATCCTGATTCATACTAGCTAAGAGGTGGCTAAACAATGTGTAACCTTCTTGTCTTGGACCTAGCATATACAGACTCTCTCAATAAATCAACCAAATTTAAACAACTTAACATAAGTAACCAAACAAGGGTTGAGAACGTGTTATCTACTCTTTTTTTCAAACAATTACATAGTATTACCTGCTAATTAAATACTCGGTAATGATATAACTTACCGAAATAGATGCATTCCAACTTATTTGTCCGTAACCAAAAGCAAATAAAAACTAACCCCAATCACAACACATTTAGACCCAAAAATATTTTTTATAAAAAAAATAAGTGAAATGAACCCAATTGAGAAGTTATCTAAAGATAGATTTTACCAGAACACTGTCATAGCCAGCTAGATGAAGCAGAGCATACTGAAGCATGCACCCGTGCCCGGCCGATAGCACGAACCGGTCCCGGTTGAACCAGTACGGGTTCTTCGGGTTGTACCTCATCACCTCATCGTACAATATGTGTCCCATCGGAGCACAGCCCATGGGCAGACCTGGGTGACCCGAATTCGCTTTCTCCACAGCATCGATCGCCAGGAACCGGATCGTGTTGACTGATTTCTCGACCAACATAGTGTCTGTTTTCTCAATGGTCTCAACTGCAGACCTCACAGTGGCGCGTGATCCTACGCGCCGCCGGTGAGTGGGTGTTGGGAGTATGGATTTGAGGGTTTTGGTGCCGGAGATGGAGCTGAAGTTGAACCCAGACAGAGCGAGACGGTCTGCGGAGTTCTGGGGTGAGCCATGGTGGAGTCTAGAGCGAGAGAGGAGGGCTTGGGAGAGAGAGAAAGAGGATGAAGTAGCCATGGCGAGAGAGAGAGAGGAGCAACGACTTATCTTCTCAATTTATCAACTATATTTTGGTTGGTTACTATGGTTAGAGAGAGAGTAGATGAGAGTCTCAACTATATTTGGTTGGTTACAGAGAGCAGATGACAACGAATGTTTGAAGTAGTCTTTCCGGTACGCGCGAGATCAATCGGAAATGGGACCGTTAGATGGAGGAGAGGCAGTGAATCGTAGCCGTTAAGTTTGGGTAGGAAATGATTGCCTTTCATTCTTCTCTAGATTTTGTTTGTTTATCTTTTAGCAATCATTTCATTTTTGGGTTTTAAGCTTTTGTCATTTGTTTCTCAGTCTTATTTTTGAAAAAAAAGAAAAATAAAAAGAAAGAAAGAAAGAATTTATAAAAAATACAAAGCAGAAGAAAAATACCACTGAAATTCTTTTAACATGGTAAGAATACATTCACATATTAAAATTTTCAACTTTCTTAACCAGTGAAGAAAATATCACTAAATTATAACAAGAGGACTATTCATTATTAAAAAAAATTATAAAATGTTTTAAGAAATTAAGACAACAATATTCCTAACTAACAAAAAAGTTTTGGAAGTAATATGAAATAATAATATCCAAAAAATAATTGTTGCATCAGTCAGAAAACTTACATTCTTCTTGTAAAGGAAACTCCATGAACTATAGGGGAAAAAATGGTTTCATATATTTATATATAGGATGGAAATGTTGGGTTTATAAGTACAGCTTTTTTTGTCTCACATGTACGGAATAATTATTGAAAAACTATTTTAGAATAATTTAAAGGATTTTATCATATAATGTAACAAGAGGCTTGTTATTAAGTTATTCCTTGGTGTTTCAAAAAGAAGTAAAAAAACTAAACAAGAGTCTTGTCATTAAGTTAATCCTTTGGTGTTTGGAAAGGAAAAAAACTAAAAAATCCTATTTCTTCACGATTGTATCAAAAGGCACATTCTTGTATTCGTTTTTTTTTTTTTTTTTTTTTTTTATTCGCAGTTTGTGTATTCCTTTCTTATAGAGTAGTAATGCTATCAACAAAGTCTTTTACAAATAAAAGTCCTCAACTCTCTTTATTTAATTATTAAATTAAATAATTTTTTTAATTTTTTTATATATCTCAACAAAGTGCCTCAATTCAATAATTAAATAAAGAGAATAGCTCGTATCTCTGGTCATGGGTTAAACTACCTACTATTTCAGTTAGAGAATGAGGCTGGGCCGAGTCATGAGTCAATTACCCAGTTTCTCCTTTGTAGTCCCACATCGAGTGAATGGGACGTAGCCCATTATGCTTGGATTACTTTTTGGTTAAGGATATATATATATTATGGACCACCCATTGTAGCCCAATGGGTTCAGGATTTCATTTAAACAAACTTTTGAGCTCGGTCAGTAACCACATACATTGATCTCTCGTCTCAGAAAAAGTGTTTTTTTTAAATAAAAAAAAATTAATTTTTTTAAGAGAATAATTTTTATTATTTTTTTATTATATTAATAGTGAATGAATTATCAAATTTATAATTAGTTCCACAACGATGTGATAGTTTATTTTTTATAGGTTAAATGCATGAAGCTTTATTAGTTAATAAACTTTGAGGAACCAATTAACTTCATTATATGATGGATAGTTTGAGAAAATTCTTTTATAAAATTAATTATTATAATAGAAATATATCGTATATACATACATACTCACACATACATACACAAACATTTTATGTGAAAACGAAGGAAAATATAATAAGGTTTGGTGTAACTTGTAGAAATGAAATAGACCAATTACATGTTAAATCAAGCAATATTTGACAAGCGACATGTCTAATCAAGTAGCATCACACATTATTTTCCTAATTAATGGTGTTGTTACTTTTATCTTTGGAATTTTGTAATCATTCACGTGAAACCACAATATGTTGCTTGTCAAACTTCCACTAAATAAATTAAGGAAACCATGACTCAAGCAAAATAAATAAATAAAAAAGAAAGTCGTTCGAAATTCAAAACAACAGAACAAACCTAACATTTGTCACAAGTAGGACTTGTGAAAGGACTAGAACTAGATGAGCCTTTTAAATAGACATATGATTAATGAGTCACGGATGATCTGTATCCTAGAGAATTGGCACTTCATTGCTCTCATTTCATACCTATGTGGCTATGTGGTTACAATTATCTATGCCTATGATGTAGCACTAGGCGTATAATTAGCTAGTGTGTGTCATCTTACGAGAATATAGTATGACGTGGATGTAGCGTAGATTTGCAAAATAAGCCATTGCCAAAGGGAGGAGGAATAGAATTCTACAATTTCCTCTATTTTTTGAAATCTTATATTTCGTTTCTTTTTAATTGTTCTTACCAAACAGACAATTAAAAAGGGACAAAGATGTAATTAGTTGAGAATCTTTTAGCCTATTTTCTGAAATCTTTGATATTGCAGATGAGATGCTTATGGATCATCGATTGTATTCGTACATGTTTGTGATATGAACAATACTCCTATATCGTATGATGCTACGCCAAATTCCACTTCAACGGGTCCTACTCCTATCCATATTTTTTTTTGTCTTTACAAATTTACCATGGGCTGCGAAGTGAAAAAAACCTTTCAATGTGAGTGATGGTACAAATTCCCAAGCTCTAGCTTGAGTGTTTGGCATTTCAAACTGAGAGTGTGTAGAGTAGTAGCATATGATGGCCTATGGCATGTAATTATATCCCAAATGTCCGCATATAGACGAATATATAGGCCCAAATTCCCGCAACAGTGTGTTTGTCTCAACACAGACACATAGAGATAAGCGCGTGACCTTTCAAGAGACATGTCAGCGCACGCGACTGGTGTTTCGATTCGTGTCTACAAAACCAGACAAAAGGTCAGAGTGTGACCATACAAACCGCCAAAATAGAATCCATCAGCAATTGTGGGACCCAAAATGTAACCAAAAAAATAAAAAATTGTTGTTATTTTCTCTCTTTTTCTTTTGCCTTTTTCAGGTTCAATTAATCTCACTCTTGTGGTAAAGTATAGATCCATCTCTTGCAAAACATTATCCTCTGGCATTTCATTTTGTGTCACGTTCTACATCAATAGATAATAATTTTACGCAACCTTTTATATATATTTACGGCATTAGGATGTAATGTGATGCGCTAATAAATGTAAAAAAAAAATAAAAAAAAAAATCTTACCTTTTTCAGATAAATTAATTTCATTCTTAGCGGGAAAGTATAAATCTCTCTTGCAAAACATTCTTTATTGGTGCATTTCATTTTGTGTTACATTTTATGTCAATATATAATAATTCTACACAAACTTTTTTATATGTTTATTGCATACGACGTAATGTGATACACTAAAAATTTACACTTGCATAAGAGAAGATCTTAATAAAATCTATTTAATTCAACAAATGAAATTAATTAAATAGTGTTTGAAACATTCCCAAATCTGTTACTTGGATCCACCATCAAAACTAACAATTTGAGTTTTAACATCATTATTAATAGCCATCTATTTGTCCTTTCAGAATCATCAGTGATACCAATTAATTAGGTTTATCATCCATAAAGTGCCACTATTGTCTAATTAGTATATTGAATTATACATGTGCTTTTGAATATCCCATGAAAGTCTTAATGGTCATTCCCACCAACATAGCACATCACAGGGTCACAGTAAATCATCTATAGATCTAATGCATGCATGTGTGGTCTTATTATTATAATTATTATTCTTATTTTAAGGTGTAGCTAGAGTTGATGATATTAAGAGGATTTATTGCTAACTAGTGAAGGCTTGTACAAAAAACTTCAAGGGTCAGCTCCAGTGATGAAGTCCTATAATTTAGAGTCTCATCAAACATTAAGTTTTAAGTTTAAATTATCTCGAGTATGATTAATTCGTTAGGGACTATGACTACGGACATAGTTCGAGCTTTATTCAATTCTTATAAAGGAGTCGCTTTGTACGAGTTCCGTAAATTAGTTGAGACAAAGTCCAAACAACTCGGTTATTGATAAAATAAGAGAGAGAGAGAGAATGTACAAGCAGTTTTCTATATAATATATCAAATGTTCAATGATCCACATCCTAATGCAGGTGTGTTGTTGCATGGCAAATTGCATTAAACTACATTAACTTGGAGCGTTTTGTAATAAATTCCCTTTAAATTATTATTTTTTACTAAAAAAAACTCTCAAATTAACTGAGAGGACTACTTTTTGACTTATTGATTAGTTGAAGGGAGTTTTTTTTGACAAAAAAATAAATATAAAAATTAAAAGGGGATTTATTACAAAAATGCTAAGGAGGTTATGCAATTCATCCTTAGTATTATTATTATTATTATTATTAAAAGGGGATTTATTGCAAAATGTTAGGGGGGCTATGCAATTCACCCTTATTATTGTTATTTATAAATAAGGTGTAGCTAAAAGTTGATGAGATTAAGAGGGTTTATGGGTAGTGAAGGTTTTTGTACATAGGCCAAGCAGTTTGCTATTTAATACTACATCAAATGTCCAAATTGTTGAATATAAATGATCAAAGGGTCCACTTCCTAATTGCTCTCATCTGTCACAAAAATTAAAAATGTGAGTTGGGAAAAAAAAAAAATGCCCCCAACTCCTAGGAAAGATGTTTGTAAAAGAAGTCATAAAATGGAGGTTGGGGTGGGTTGAATTGAATGTAATGGCTTGCTAACTATTTAGAGAGTTAGGAATTTGTAATTATTAACCATTCAATTTCATTTAATTTTTGGTTGGTGGTTTAAATTTCTGAGTATAGGTTGCAGGCTTCAGTTATTTTTCTCATCAACTAAAAACCTAATTTCTCTGTCTTCTTCATTTTACCAACATACATGTAAATGTATGGGCTCCAACCCCGCACCTCATTTATGAGGGAAAGAAGATTATAATATTGGGCTAATTCTTTTCTCATATGTTTATATCATGCCATTATTTTATTTCTCTTATTTTATCAAGTTGGGAAGTAGGAACTTGAGCACGGACATATTTATTTGGAGAACTGAGTTTTTTTATTTTTTATTTTTACTAATTAACCCACTGGCTAATGATAAAAACAAAAAATAAAAATCTACTAGAAAAAATATAGAAGGTGGCATCCCAAATTTGGTTAGATTAGGCCAAGAGAATGTTTGATGTCCATTCTTAGTTCTAAATATCAAAAACTTTTGAACTGGTCCAATCCATATAATGTGAACGGTGCAATGTAAATAAGGGTAAAGTGCAAAAAACTCCCTTAAACTATATTTAAATTTACAAATAATCTCCTTGAACTATATTTTATGCATAAAACCCCCTAAACTATCTCATTTTGAGGCAACATACCCTAAAAACTAAATTATATTTAATTAAATGACCATAATGCCCCTTCTTATTGAATTACATTTAATATATTTTTCTTATCTAAATAAATTATGAAAAAATTTATACTAATTTGAAGAGATATTTTCCATTAAATTTGCATAAATTTACCTTTAATTTTTTTAATTATTTATTTAAATAAAAAAATTTAGTAGAAATATTTTTTAAAAATTAATTAATTTTTTAATTTTTAATGAATATATTACACTAAAATAAGGTATTTTTTTCATTCAAAAGTATTTTATTAATTTTTCATCAATATAACGTACGAAAAAGATGATATTTTTTTTACGATAAAAATGTTTAAATTGGTTATGATACGTTTTATTATAAATAATAAGTTAATTAATTTAGAAAACGGTAGTTACAAATCCATTTATCTAATTTTTTTCATTTTTATGATAAATTGATACTAAAAATAAATAAAAGTAATTAGTATAATTAATATTTACATAAGAGAAAAGATAATAAAAATTATTTAATAAGAAGTGAAAATTTTAATGAGAAAGGGTAAAATAGTCTTTTGTGATAAATTTATCCTTAATTACACCAAATCAATAATTCAGGACGGCCATTTTTAATTCAAAAGAGTTATCTGCAAAAAGGTAATAATTTTTTTTTTTTTTTTTTTTTTTTTTTTTTTTTTTTTTTTTTTTGGCAGTTAACCATGTTAATTATAAATGTGATATCAAAGCAGTGACGACCATGATTGTAACAGATTTGCCAAATGGCAACATTTGGATTGCGATTTACAGACCCAGACTGTAGTTCGGACCACACTCTGTACCCTCCCAAGAAGGAATCTGCGGACCCCACATTATTCCCATATTACCCTTCTTACCCATTTCCCAGTCTCACATATATATATATATATACAAAAAGTGATCACTGATATATTTAGATCGGACGACCATGATGAAATGATGTGCCCCCTAAACCTTGACTTTGTAGGCCCCACCTTACAGCTAGACTTTAAGAATCCATCTGTCCTCCACATACCCGCAAATCAATGGCATACCCACTCAAAATTTTAAACATACAAATTATACATATATATATACACACAGCCTCACTCTCACTGCATTTGTTAATTGTCACTCATCCTCTACTAAAATGTGCCAAAACTGTGTCCACCGGTCTCCGGCGCCACCGGTTCCGGTGTACCGCACCCTCATCGCAGTCTCTCTGTTCCTTCTAATCAGTCCGGTCATCGGGTGGCGTCCATGGGCCAATAAAAAAATCAACGCCTCTGATCTAGAGTTTGGAGGGTCCAAGAAATACGAGGGTTCATCTGAGTTTGTTCGCTTGAGGTACCACATGGGTCCAGTGCTCACGGCCAATATCACCGTCCATGTGATCTGGTACGGCACGTGGCAGAAAACCCAGAAGCGGATTATCCGGGGTTTCATCAGCTCGTTCTCGGCCGTTGATTCCAAGCCCCCCTCCGTCTCCGGTTGGTGGAAGACCGTTCAGCTCTACACTGACCAGACCGGCGCTAGCATCTCCGGTTCGGTGGTGCTCGGTTCAGAGAAGAACGACCGGTTCTACTCTCACGGCAAGTCGCTCACGCGCCTCACCATACAATCGGTGATAAAAAGCGCCGTGACGGCACGTACGCACCCCTTGCCTATCAGCCCCAAGAATGGAGTCTACTTACTTCTGACATCTGATGACGTGTACGTCCAGGATTTCTGCAGACAGGTCTGTGGGTTCCACTACTTCACCTTCCCGTCCATCGTGGGGTACACGCTACCGTACGCCTGGGTGGGCAACTCTGCCAAGCTGTGCCCAGGTATGTGCGCATACCCATTCGCCGTACCTGATTATATCCCGGGGCTGAAGGCGCTAAAGTCACCGAACGGTGACGTTGGGGTGGACGGAATGATCAGCGTGATTGGTCACGAAATGGCTGAGCTGGCGACGAACCCTCTGGTGAACGCGTGGTACGCCGGTCAGGACCCTATTTTCCCGGTAGAGATTGCTGATCTCTGCGAGGGTATTTATGGTACTGGAGGTGGTGGGTCCTACACGGGACAGATGTTGAAGGATCATGATGGGGCCACGTATAATATGAATGGCATCAGACGGAAATTCTTGGTCCAGTGGGTTTGGAACCATCTGTTAAAATACTGCACTGGCCCTAATGCACTTGATTAGTAAAATTGTTTCTTTTGTGTGGACTTTATCGTCCTTATACATTTTGGGTCCTCCTTTGAGATTGCCAAGCCACATTAATCATGATTAGTTAATTTAGTTAAGGTTGTTTAAAATGTTTAGTATAGTAGTAATAATATTGGTATACTATTTTTGTATACAAATACCTGTTCCCGCCTTATTCGAAGTATTCATTGTCTCGAGGATACTTTACTACCCTTTTAGATATTTTCGCTCACCGACCATTACCTTGAATATATAGACGGTTAAACTAAACTCCTAAGAGTTGTGATGCTTCGATCAGGTGCAGTACAACACGGTCATCGTGTACACACTTGTATTGTATTTTGGGCCCGTACAAAGTTTGGCACGAATTATATGAAACTCAATATTCTCTCAGTCTTAAATTAAGTGTCGCCGTCACAATTATCAAATGTGACACTTAGGGCCCGTTTGGAAAGTGTTGTGTAGTGTAGTGTAGTGTAGTATAATACTCTAACCTAGAACATAACAAGTATTTTGTGATTCAATATTCTGAAATGGGAACAAAACATGTTTGGGATGAAAATTTGAAGTGAGAATTTTGGAATAAAAATTATTATTATTATTATTTTGATGATTAAAATAAATTAATTACAAAGCTTGATTAATTCGCAAAACAAGAATTATAGAGCTTGATTAGTTGATTTAGAAAAAAAATTAAAACAAAACCCATACACACAGAATTGCAACTGCAGAGAGAGAGACTAGAGCAATTGGGAGGCTGAAATGATTTGCCCTAAAAAATATATTGTAGAGTTGAGAATGAGAATAGAGATGGAGGCGTTTGGGAGACTGAAATGATTTGCCCTAAAAAAAATTAAAACAAAACCTATACAAGTTGCAGTTGCAGAGAGAGAGAGCGAGAATAGAGATAGAGGTGTTTGGGAGACTGAAATGATTTGCCCTAAAAAAAAATAAAACAAATCCCATACAAGTTTGCCGTTGCAGAGGGAGAGAACGAGAATAGAGATGGAGACGTTTGGGAGGCTGAAATGATTTGCCCTAAAAAAAATTAAAACAAAACCCATAACAGTTTGCAATTGCAAAGAGAGATATCGAGAATAGAGATGGAGGCGTTTGGGAGGCTGAAATGATTTGCCCTAAAAAAAAATAAAAACAAAACTCATACTCACGATCTGAAAAAAAAAAAATTAAAACAAAACCCATACTCACAATCTAAATTGCAGAGTTCAAAAAAATTGTAGATTTTGAACTTTTGATTCTTGTAGATTTTGTAGTTTAATACAGATTGAGGCGGGTTTTGAACTTCTGATCCTTGTAGATCTTGTGTTTGTAGTTGCAAAGAGAGAGAGGGAGCCAGAGTTGAGAACGAAAATAGAGACGGAGGCGATTGGGAGGCTGAAATGATTTGCCCTAATAAAAATTATCTCCGCTATAGTAAAAAAGATGGGCCTGGAACAACATAGAACACCAAATTGTTGTTCCACCTTTTGGGCCAAATAGTGGATGTATTCTGAAAGTGTTCCACTACTGTTGAGAATACAACAAGACCGGTCAAATAACATGTGTTTTGAAATGGGCTACTATAACACTGTAAGGAATAACACAAAACATGGTAGAATAAACACTTAATTTGGTAATAACACAAAACATGGTAGAATAGTTCCAGAGTTGAGAACGAGAATACAGATTGAGGCGGGTTTTGAACTTCTGATCCTTGTAGATTTTGTGTTTGCAGTTGCAAAGAGAGAGAGGGAGCAAGTTCCAGAGTTGAGAACGAAAATAGAGACGGAGGCGATTGGGAGGCTGAAATGATTTGCCCTAATAAAAATTATCTCTACTACAGTAAAAAAGACGGGCCTGGAATAACATATAATACCAAATTGTTGTTCCACCTTTTGGGCCAAATAGTGGATGTGTTCTGAAAGTGTTCCACTACTGTTGAGAATATAACAAGACCGGCCAAACAACATGTGTTTTGAAATGAGCTACTGTAACACTGTAAGGAATAACACAAAACATGGTAGAATAAACACTTAATTTGGGAATAACACAAAACATGGTAGAATAAGCACTTAATTTGGGACTGACGGAATACAAAACTTCCTAAACTCTGCCCTTATACACTATGCACTAAAATAGTACTATCCTCCTCTATCTGGGAGGTACAGATGTACCACTTCTCATGTCTATAAATCACCTCTGCACATGCATTTGTGAGAGTGTGACACTTAAAAAATTTGCAGTAAAAACTGTCATTGTAGTGCATATAGTAGTAACAAGCAGACCATGTAAAAGCTACCATGTACGTGTTAGTGGAGTAAAATGTGAAATAGTAGTAACAAGCAGGCCGTGTAAAAGCTACCAACTCCACTCTATAATCTCTATAATTATCATATCCCCAGGGCCCTTTTCAGAATCTCTCTCATACTTTGGTTTAGGTACTAACATAACTTTATGGGGATTTGAGTCACAAGTCTTGTGAAGTTGTGATTACTAGCTCCTTTACCGAAAAAAAGAAAAAGAAAATCAAAAAGTGAAAAAAAAAGAATAGTTTGAATGCCCTTTTATGTCTTCCTTCTCTAAAGCTGCACATTTTCTTATGTTATCTGGAATATGCCATAATGTTGTTATTCACACTAGTAGTTACAGTACAAATTTTTAGAGTATGTATAAAGTTATATACTCCCTTTGTTTCAAAATATTTATCAATCTTTTTATTCTGGGATGTTTCAAAAAACATGTCCTATTCTAAAATTAAATGTACTATTTTTTATAACATTATCAAATTATCCTTTTAACTAAACAACTGCATTAATTATCGAGCACTATTTTGTCTTTTAATAAGGACATATTTCAAACTTCACTCTAATCAATACAATAAAAAAACTATTAAAACTTCATTATCATAAAAAGTTAAATTCTCCATACAAAACATGTATTTTGATATAGATGGAGTACTAATTTATTGCTATGGATAAAAAATATGATCCGAAAATTCATTTTAAATAACTATTTTTCTAATTATATGTGACTGTAGTACTAAAAAAAAAACCCTTTAGTCCACCGGGCTACTGCAAAGTCTGAAAAGAGATAAATGTATACACAACTTTACTTTTGCCTCTGCATAGAGACGATTGTACTGTTACTGTTTCCCATAATATTTTTCCCACACAAACAATAATTAATATCTTTGTGGAGGCTTTTAAATTGTAGTCTCGACCACAAAATAAATGGGGGCATTACCTAATAGCCTAGTCGATAGAGTGCTCAGCTTCTCGAACAGGTGTCCCCCTCTTCTAGTTTACCAGGAAAAAAAATCACAAAATAAATAGGCAGACCATGCAATCCTTTTTGTAGGCCATGGCTTAAATTTGACCAAAAGATAAAAGGGTTTGGCTCTTTGATTAATATATATGTTATGAAGATCTTGCTATGCTTAAACTAGTTAAACTCCTAGACCAAAATGCTGCACAAAAAGACAAAGCATAGAAAAGAAAAGGAGGTGTGCAAGTGAAGGGTTGGGGGCAAATTGATTGGCTTTTAAAAGTGGGAGAGGGGGTAAAGGAGGGGCAATAATTAGAATGGAGAGGGTGGGGGTGGGGGGGACCTCTTGGGGTCATGTCATTTTATCACAGCAGGTAGTGACAAAGAGCCAGCTTACATTCAATGGAACTGGGGTGTATGCAGGCCATTAGATAGATGATTTAGGTGGTCCGCTTAATGCATGTATATATCATCCTCAAATTTCCTCCTGGATCCATCCAATTTTTGAATGTTTTAAAGTAACAAGTTCATGTTGATCAAGACATTTGGGCAAAATGATCCATTGACAATCTGTCATGAACACGTTAATGCTCATCATAATCTTCACCACTTGCAATGCTTTATCCTCACAACTAGTGCAAGAAAAAAACACACACGCACATCCATAAAATGAGAATGCTGCAATGAATGAATGAAAAGCGGAAAAATAAATAAATAAATAAAATGGTAGTAGTACTAGAAATAAGTGCATCTGCAAGAATTTTGAAGGGGGAGTGCCAAATTGAAGGCAACATTCTCATCAGCAAATATTTTAGTTAGCTTTAGCTGTACTACGCATAAAAATTTAGAGGGCAAGACAAAATGTGAACAAAACAATATAGTTCAATGGTTTTCCTAACCTTAACCAAATTTTCAAACAGCAATTGATACATGGGTATTGCTGAAAAATATAACAGGAGCATCAAAGTATATGAAAAACTGGTATTCATGAAATTGTGTTGGTGTTGCATCGAGGTAAATGAATAAATAACCATAGAAACATGTTTTGAACTTGAATGCTTCATAGTAATGAATATCATACCTAATATATGGGTACCATCGTAAAAGTAGATGATCATAAAGAGAACAATACGACTAGAGTATGAATTAGCGGCCATTTGTACCACGATTTTATGCATGTATTCCCCCTCCCACATGTTTAGTTGTGAAGGCTGTTTGCATCAAATTGTTTATCCTGCACAAAAAAATAATAATAATAATAATAATAATAAAAACTGAATCAAGCACATCTATATAAGGAATAGGAAAGGCAATAAAATCTCACATGGCCACAGACAGGTTCATTTTATTAGTCCCGGTACATTCAATTAGTCATTTTAAAACAAAGTTATTGAGGGGTGGTAGTCGCTTCAACCAACCAAGAAAATGGTCAGAAATAAACTTCATAAGGTAAGAATATATCAAAATAAGAACTAAGAAAATGATAATTTTATGTTAAATTCTTTTTTCTTTTCTTTTTTCGGATAAGTATAATTTTCTGTTAAATTCAGAATTTTTCATATTGTCAATTGTGTGCGTTCACGTGTATGTTTGCTAATTTACGTATGTAAAAGGTATTTTGTCTACAAGTTACAGAGCATTCACAAGTGGAGTCTAACTCAAACTACCAGGTACAAAAAGGAATTCTTCCTACTCAAATACATATGGTTAGTGTTGATGCGAAAATCCTCGAACGATGGCGTTTACCTGCAAAACAAAGGAACGTCATCTCGAATGACACCGGTGGGGTGCCAGCCTAGGACCCTCTGACGATTAAGTTAGTACTTGTAATCATATCCCATAATAATTATGTAATATTCTATTTAGGTATTTTTTCTCGCACCTTATTCCCGAGTCGTCTTCCTATTTATCGTCACTTCCCTTATTCTTGATAAGGGAATATCATAATTCTTATT